CTCCTCCTCCTCTTCTTCTTACTCCTCTTCTTTTTCCTTTTTTTTGCCCATCTTTGGCCAGCTCCTGAAAGAAGCAGCCATGATCAAGAATGAATGCTAAACCCTGCAAGTCTTTCCCAAACACTCTACTTTGTCTTCTCTATAACTTACATTTCCTCAGTTTTGTTCTCTCCTTGTATCTTTCCTTCTTGCCTCAAGTCCTCTGTGGCCTTGGGAGCTGTCCTCAAGACAGCTTTCTGGGTTCAGGGAGGGTCTGAATGGAGCCAGTTGTCAAGAACATGGGGCATAGGCATCACTACAAGTCACCCGCCATGGATTAGAATTTATATTAGGGAAAACTACAAGCAGAGAAGTGGCAGAGCACATGTGGCACTGAGCTCAGGTAGGCATTGCTGAAGTGGACACACTGTGGGAAGGTTCTAGAAGCCTTACACCATAGGCTCCCCTGCATTCTATAGGCCAAATGGAAATGTTTGGGCAATTATGAAAGCTTCCCAGTCAGGAAGTGGCCTTATAAAAGGACCATCCAAATCTTAGCCACTGAGTCTAGTCTGTTTTATGTTGACTAACTCAGAGAGCTACACCGACTCTGTACTGAGAGAGAGGAAATCTGCCTTCAGTGGCATCATTCAGCATCCTCAGCCTGATCTGAATGGGGGTATTATGGAGGAGGCTTGTAAAAAAAAAAAGGGCTTGTGCTGTATGCAAACCTTCCATTCATTCGCCCAACAGATCAGTCTTGTATCTCATCACATGAGTGTTGTACCCGTCCCTAGGGGCTGTTCCGGATGCTGTGGCAGGCCCACATTCAGTCTCTAAGCCCCATGGGGTAGACCCTGGGTCTTCCTGGAGCCCTGGCCCTGCCTTAACTTGTTTCCCCCTCCCCCAGAGTGCCAAGGTAGCTGAGATCTTTCTTTCTGGTCCGATCCCAGTGTACTGCTCAAGTTCTTCCAAAGCTGGCCACCATACCCACTAGGCACATTACCCCGTTACTTTTCCACAGAGTAAACACAAGGAAGCACCTGTACCTACAGCTCATCTCCAGGGAGCCAAGGCTCCAACAGCAACAGTTGCGTCTGTTCAGATCTCTGTGCAGACAACACATCAATGGGGCAGGATGGACTGAGCTGGATGTCGAAGCTCATTCATCCTCTAGCACTCTATTTACACCTTGAATTAACCATTTATATCTTAAGCATCTAACACATGCACATACACACACACACACATACACACACACACACATACACACACACACACATACACACACACACACATACACAAAGAGAGAGAAACAGACACACACAAATACACACAGTTTTATGTGTCTCTCTATACAATCTAGATTCCACAAGTGAGAGAAAATATATTTTTCTTTCCGAGTCTGGCTTATTTTGCTTAATACAATGATTTCCAATTGCACCCATTTCCCAATAAACAAAATTTTGTTCTTCTCTGAGGATAAATAGAATTCCATTGTGTATATATGCCGTATGTTCTTTATCCACTCATCTGTTGGTGGATACTTAGGCTGATTCCATAACTTGCCTATTGCGAATAGTGCTGCATAAAAATGCCAAGTATCCCTGTGGTGTGTTGCCTTGGAGTCCAGGTTTACACCCAGGAGTTGTATAGTTGGATTATATTATGATAGTTTTATTTTTATTTATTTATTTATTTTTGAGGAAACTTCATACTGAAGGATCAATTTACTCCTACCAGTTGTGTATAAAAGTAAATACAGCCAGGCATGGTGGCTCATGCCTTTAACCCCAGCACTTGGGAGGCAGAGGTAGGAGGATCTCTGAGTTCGAGGCCAGCCTGGTCTCCATAGTGAATCCAGGCCAGCTGAGTCTACAGGGTGACCCTGTCTCAAAAAGACCAAAAAAAAAAAAAAAGTAAATATGGGGGCTGGAGAGATGGCTCAGATTAAGAGCACTGGCTGCTCTTGCAGAGGACCAAGATTTGGTTTCCAGTACTCACATGGTGGCTCACAGCCATCTGTAATTCCAGTTCCAAGGGACATGGCACTCTATTTTGGTTTCTGTGGGTACCAGGCCCACACACATACATACATGTAGGCAAACACTCAGATACATAAAATAAAAATATATAAATCTTTAAAAAATAGTGCTTAAGAGTGTGGGAAAATCTGAACTTTGTAAGTTAAAAAATACTAAAGATGATGAATTTTACCTATTTTATTTTATTGATATTTTGAGGCAAGATCTCATGTAGCCTAGACTGACCTAGAACTTGCTACATAGCCAAGCATAACCTTAGACTCCTGTTCCTCCTGCCTCTACCACCCAAATGCTTGGATGACAAGTGTATATACCACTAAGCTTGGCTTAAGATGATAAATTTTAAATGTGTTAATATTTCTGTCACTCTTGAACCAAGGCAAGGTGTTTTAGATTCTAAACCTTATAATCTTGAAAAAAAGTGAAGCTGATATTTAAAAATCTTTTATTTATTATCACTTTGTGCATGTGAGTGCCTGTATGTGTCATGGTACACGTGTGGCAGTCAGAGGACAATTTTCAGGAGTTGGAGTCTCTCCTTCCACTGTGGATTCTAAGGGATCAAACCCAGGTCATCAGGATTTCACAGGAAGCACGTTTACCCACTGAACCCTCTCACTGGCCCAAAGCTGACATTTTAAAGTTGGTGACAGGACTTGTGAGTGGCCTAGATGAAATATTTAGGAGAAAAAAGAATATTGGGGTGACTAGGTTTTAGCCTTAGTAACTAGATGAATGAAGCATTGTTTACTGTGATAAGATTGGGGGTGGGAGGAAGTTGGGATTGGGTATGAAGAAGATGTCTGGAAAAACCCTTTTGGAGACACAAACAGCAGCAGTTACATCTTGAAATTCTAAGTCTAGGAGAAAGCTTGTAATCCTCTAATAACTCCAAAAGACGGCTGTTGTTAGAAGTTTAGTAATCTAGTCAGTTATTTCAATACCCTTCACACCATTGACATACTCCACCTTCTACAACCAATCCAACGTAAATTAAAAATGAACGAGAGGGAGGGACACACGGAGAGAAACAACCAGAGAGCCAGGATACTTGATTTGGAAAAGGAGTTGAACTTGCTCTTATCATCCTGTGCCAATGTTCTTTGCTCTGATATTAAGATTGTATTATTACTTTTCTATTTGCCGTGACAATTCCTGATGAAATCAACTTAAGGAAGGAAGGGTTTGTTTTGGCTCACAGTTTAGAGGGCATGGTCTCTCGTGGCAGGGAAGACATGGTGGCTGAAGCAGCTTGGTCTATAGTGGTGGGAACTTGTGGCATGGCTCGTTCATGTCTTGGTTGATTAGGAAGCAGAAAACTCGGCCGGAACCAGGTATAACCTCCAAGGACCCACTTTGGCTTAGCTATGTCATCATCCCAAAGGTTCCGAAACCTCCCCAAAGAGTGCTCAGAGCTAAAGACCAAGCACTCAAAGCATGAGCCCATAGGGGAACATTTCACACTCAAGCCAAACAAGACCCAGCGATGTATAGGGTGCTAATTCAGACTCTTAACAGGGTGCTAATTCAGACTCTTAACATGATGACTAACTATTCACAATGCACTCTTTAAGTTCAAAATCCACTGAAGTTAATGTGTTTTTAGTATATAAACATTCATCTCCTACATGGACTTTAACGTTTGAGAAACATACATTACTATTGAGCACAAACCATTGAAAATAGAAACTTATGGGCATTAATTAGCTAGTACTGTGATTTGAAATGAGAATTAACTTTGAAGTTGAAACTGACACAGAATCTTGTCTCTTTCACTTGTCTATACTTACATCATTTTTCTAAGCTTCAGTTTCCTTGTCTGTAAAAAGACATCATGATAATAATATCTGCTTATGGGATCAATATGAGATTAAATAAAATGTCTACGTGAAGCAAGCCAGGGGAATTCCTGGTACTGCCAGTCACATTACCCTTGTGTTTAAAAGGCCTTACAGCAATAAGACGTTATAGTCTCACAACCAAACTGTATTTTTGTATAATGTCCTTGTAGCTTAGGCCATTTGAAGTTTCCTTTTGTTTTACTTACTAGGTAGGTATTTTGAAAATGCAATCCTGTAATGTTTTACTACTCGGTGATATTTTATTGCTCTGTAATATCTTGAAGCTTTATGATGTTTTCCACTCACCATGTCTAACTACTGATAAAGATGTGAAACTAGAAAACGGAAAGTTCACCAGATGGCTTAGTGAGGCACCTGGTCCAATCAGTCCAAGAAAAGTGTAGATCAAACGTGTCAGATATCTAAGCTGCCAGTGATAATCCATTTTGTGAACTGCAATGACCATTTGAATGGATTCCTAGTCCAATTAACCTGCCGTAGCTATAGATCAAACGGCAGCAGATGTTCTGATCCATGCCTGTGATATTTACTTCGTAAATTGTTATGACCAGGTGAATTCAAGAAGGAATTTTCTAGAGATAACATGGCACATCAAAGTAAAGAGGAACCACTGAATAACATAAAAGATCCAATATAACCTGACTTATGTGTGGTTCACACATAAGAACATCTTAAAGCGTTGGTTGCTAGCTCTGGAACTACATGCATGTGAAGGAATGAACGAGCTCTCCAACTATCTCCTGAGTGAATTCTTGATCTCTTAGCTGTTCAGAGCATTTTTCCCTAACAGCAGGCATCGTGTACAACAGCCTGAGTCTCTCTGATGTCTTCCTCTGTGCAAAAAAGTTTTCTAGACCCAGTTATCATTTACATTCCCAACAGCAGTAACCTCTGATGCCTCTGGGACTGAGAGATGGAGTGACAGTGTCATTTCAAAGCTCAGAATCAGTGTCCTGAATACTTTTGGGATGGCCTGACATGAGTTGACCAGTGCAAACACATGGAAATTCAACTGTATATGTGCAAGGGAGAGCATGCACATGGATGTCGAGGAGGTGAATTTTATTTAATGATCCTGATATTTTAGTGATAAACATGGTTTTGAAAACGCCAATTAAATGTATACAGGTATCAGTTTATTTTCAAGCCTTATTTTATGACTATAGACATTATTTTCATTTCTGCAGATAGGTCTATTTCTCTTCTACTCAAGAGGAAGCAAGAGAAAGGACGGCTTGAAATTATGTTTCCTGGATGACGTGGAGTTGCAGAACTACTAGAAGAAAATACTGTGAAAACAAAACACCAGGCATAGAGCCTTGATACTGAATAAGCTCCCATTCAGATGCGTGTGGAAAAATAACCAGCCTCCACGCAAATAACCACGGTGGGGAAAGGATGTGTGGGTGGATTCCTGCATGGGGATCTGTGCTGTAGCAGAGCGCCTTGGGGATTTAACTGGCTTCTAGCAGAGTGACCTCAGTGCTTTGTATCCTCTTGGGGTCAGGGAGGCAGGAAGCTCTCAGCTGACGTGTGTCCGCTTTTCCATCTCATCTGGGTTGTTCCGGAGCCTCAGCTTTGTTTCCAGCCTCTGCTTCCATTCTTCCCTGAGCCTGAAAAGAGAAACACACAGATGGGATAGTCATCTCCGGGGCTGATGGCTCTGGGCCGCTTCCTTCCCTTTTCTCCCTAGAGCTGTGTGTGTGTTCATGTTTTAAGAGTGTATGTACAGAACTTGCAAATGAAGATATATATGCATATTTCCTTCTTTGCCTAAGTGAAAATGAGCAGACTTGCCCCTTGCTTTTTTATTTTTGTACATGTGCATGTGTGTACGCACATACGTAGGGGGAGTGCATGCGCATGTGTATGTGTGTACTTGTGCATGTGGAGGTAAGAGATCAATGCAGGGTATGTATTGCCCTACCTTACTTTTGGATACGGGGTCTCTCACTGAATTTGGAGCTGGCCAGTTCAGCTAGACTGGCTGGGCAGCAAGTTCTAGTGAGCCTCCCATCTCCACCTCCCCAGCACTGGGATTACAGGTGTGCACTGTTGTGCTTGGCTTTTTAATGTATGTGGTGGAGATTGAACTCAAGTCTTTATGTTTGCATGGCAAGTGCTTTACCAACTGAGCCATCTCCTCAGTCCATTTTGAGGGTTTTTTTTTCTTCTCTTTCCTTTATTTCTCCCCCTCTTCTTTTCTTTCTTTTTTTTTGGGGGGGGACGGGGTTTCATGTTGCTCAGGCTTGCTTCAGAGCCATTTCTCCAGCCCCACCATCTTATTTACTTATTTGTTTGTTTATTGTTTCTTTGAGACAGAGTCTTATTATGTAGCCCTGGCTGATTTGGAATTCTCTATGTAGACCAAGCTGGCCTAGAACTTGCACAGATCCACCTTCCTCTGCCTCTCAAGTGCTGGGATCAAAGGTGTGTGCACCATACTTGGCAATTTTTTAAAGATTTATTTTCCTTTTTTTTTTGCCTTTTTAAAAAAAATATTTATTTAATAACCACATAATTAGAAGAAGCATTTCATTACAACAGCACTGACATATTCAATCACAATTTCCAGAGCTAAGATGCATCTCTTTCAAAATTGGCTATA